GGCCCGCGGGCCCGGCGGCGAGCGGGCGGGAGTTGGTGTCGGCCCTGCTGGCCGGGGAGCCTCCGCCCCGGACTGGGTTGGCACAGCCGCTAGGCGAAAATGAAATTTCAGTGGCGCGGACGCCTCTGTTTTCAGGGCAGAGGGCCGATTGGTCGTCTTGAAAACCTGGGAACGCGGCGCACCGTTATTCGGATGCAAGCCCGCGCCACCTGGGGGACCGCGAGCTCCTCAAGGCTAGGTGGTTTCTGTGTTCTCCCTGTGATATCCTCCATCCCGGCCTCCCGCTGAGCTGAAGCCTCTGTTGATTGAAGAAGCAGTCTCCCAGCAGAGAGCCTGTAGGTTAAGTGGGTGGTTTATTGGTGGGTATTGAATTGTTTGTGCCCTACTCTTTACGGATGGTTTTTATTTAGGTTTTAAAGGTCGCCAGCTTCTGGCAGTATTAGGTAAAGTATTGAAACCGTCCCAAACCTGTTATTTATGGTCTTTTAGTGAACACATGACCCAAATCTTACGTCCTTTCCACTCTCCCCGCTCTTTGGAACTAGTGAAGTGATACATAGATGTGTGTACACCAACTGCAAAATTGCTTCTCTTGGTCTTAAGAATTTTGGGTTGTAGGTTTTCTTTAGATATTTCTCTTTTTAAGTCGTGGTTTTGACTTGCTTTGGGAGGTGTGTACCACTTATTTTTCCTAGATGCCCTGAAATGTTTTGGTTAGACTCTCCTTGATCGTCATGCTTTGTAGGAGGAAGATTTCTTGCTAATTGATTTTTTTTCTTGCATTTTTCTTGTTTGTTATGAATAAATACTGATCCCAAGATGGATGGATTAACCTTTTTTCTTAAACATTTGTGCTTTGATCAGGCTGACCCCAACTTTGAATATTTTGTCCTAAATCTTCTATTTCTATTTGATAGGAAATGCTTTAAATACACCATTTTTTTCTTTTCCCATGTTCTCACCTCGAAAAGAAGTAAGTGGGGAAAAGAGTTAAATTTGTAATGTCCTGCCTGAAGCTGGAAGGGGCCTCAAGAAATGATATGGCCCAGTCCTCTTCTGGCAGGAAGATCTTACAGGAGAGGTGGGTGAGAACCAGAAAGGTCAAGTGATGTGCCTGTGGTTACACAGTAATTTGATGGTAAATCCTTGTAAACATGGACTGTTTTTACAATTGTATTCTTTTTCAAAAGTTAGTTTTTTAACGTTAAATAATGCTTCCAGATACAGTGTAAAAATTCATACATCAGTGAGTTTTGGGTTTTTCTTTTTTTGCAAACACATTACAATTGCACTAATTTTCAAGTAAATACTAAACAGTCATTAATGTTTCTATGATGGCCTGTCATTAGCACTGCGAACAAGGCACAGTTATTTCATTTTACTGAGGTATAGGAACTGAGGCCTGGGTAAAGTAAGCAATCTGCCAAATGTTACAGATGCAATAAGGGAAGCCAGAGCTGTGATCTAGTCCTTTTGACCTTAAGGTTTATGCTGAGCTGTGATCTAGTCCTTTTGACCTTAAGGTTTATGCTGTAAAACCATGCTGTATCAGTGGCCAGATGTTCACTTTAAGGTTAGTTGTTTAATATTAAAAGTAGTGTAGAGAGGTGCCTGGGTGGCTCAGACGGTTAAGTGGCCGCCTTCGGCTCAGGTCATGATCCCAGGGTCCTGGGATGGAACCCTTCCTCTGTCTCCCTGCTCAGCAGGGAGTCTGCTTTCCCTCTCCCTCTGTCCTTCCCCTGCTCATTCTCTCTCGCTCTCTCTCAAAATTTTTTTTAAAAAAGTAGTGTAGAAAGGGTTCATAATCTTGGGCAGCTTTTCTTCCCTGGAAAACAGATGCACACGTACAGAGACAGATTGCAAACAATATCAGCAGGTAACAGGCCTCTGCAAGCTGAAATCAGTGCTGCCATAGTGCCATTTTTTTTCTCCATTGTGTTTTTGCTAGAAGTTTTAAAAAAAAAAAATATATATATATATGTTTATTTTTAGAGAGTGCACATGTGAGGTGGGGGGTGACAGAGAGAATCTTAAGCAGGCTCCACTCTCAGTGTGGAGCCCATCTCGGGGCTCGGTCCCATGACCCTGAGATCATGACCTGAGCCGAAATCAAGAGTCAGATGCTTAATAGACTAAGCCACGCAGGCACGACTCGCTAGAAGTCTTTTTAGTGAGAGTGTTTTAGCAGCTTTAATCACAAAAAAAATTCAAGTTGTATCATACTAGCTATACTTTTTTTTTGACTATTGATAAGTATCCACATTTGTATCAACAGTGCTTTTAACATTGTTTTATCTGCCTTTAAATATTAAAGGATTCTTGACTGAGGGGTGTAGTAAAGAACTGCCAGGCCCCAGTGGTTGTGAAGCATTAAGCTTTGGGTGGGCCTGGCATCAGCACTTCTGAGCATCACAGAGAATTCTGATGTACACTACCGGCCTGAACCACTGAGCTGATTCCAAAAATGCGTGGCAAAAGAAAAACAAGACAAAACTTTTCATTTTTTGAAATGCAGTTGTTGGCTTTTTCAAACTGACTACTGAAGATTATTCATTCACAGGGACAGGGGCTTGACAGGATTGATGATACCCAGCTGTTGTGTGTGCATCTTCTTGGCACCTACCCAGACTGTGAGCTCTGTATCGAAATGTGCCTTGTCCTATCTCAGCCCTTACCACAGTACCTAGTAAAGATGGGTATTTACTAAATCAGTGCTTTTCCCAGCAACAGTATATGGTGAACAATATTCATATTATCATCCCACTTTTTTTTTTTTTTTAAGATTTTATTTATTTATTTGACAGAGACACAGCGAGAGAGGGAACACAAGCAGGGGGAGTGGGAGAGGGAGAAGCAGGCTTCCCGCCGAGCAGGGAGCCCGATGCGG